CCAAGAATTACAAAAATATCGTCAGCAAATGAATCGTCAAATCGACCCCATATAAGATATTGAAGTTGAATTGGAGAGATATTGAAAGTGGATATGATCCTTTTAAATTTTGAAAGGTTTATGATGGAGTTGTTATCAAGAAGTACAGCAAAATCAAATGTTATGCCAGAATGTTTTAGTGACTGAGTCTGCAAGTAATAGAAATAAGATAACAAGTTAATAAGGTAACGAATAAATTAAATATAGTCAATTAACATCGAAATATAAATGAGTGCTGCCAAGAGAAAAGCGGGTTTTCTCTTGGCTGCATTCAAATAAAATCTTAATTTGTTTACCCATTTAAGAACAATTTCTTGAGTATAATTCAGATTTAAATCCGGTAAATGTTGAAATTCGACCATGTCATTATATTCTACATTTTCACTAACAAAACTTCCGTACATTTTTTTATTAACGTCATATGGAGGAATCAAAAACTTGTAATAAACATTCGTGTCATATTTCATACAAGGTTCTATATTATCATTTATACCAAACAAAACACTGCGTAATAATTTACGATGTTGGTATTCTTCCATCCGAGATGTAATTAGAAGCAGAATCTGGTAATGTCCTGATGTATTGGATCCATTATTGTTATTGTTATTATCAATTTCAAAATTCTTTTCTATAGAATTAGGCGGAATATCATCATTAATTTTATAAAACGATGGAAATATCATTATAAATATTATTATGAAAATTGCCAAGTATAAATTAGTTTTTAGACGATATCGTTTTTGCTCTGATGGAAGCATCATATTGATTTTCGTTTCTTTTGACATATACATCTTTAAAATCGTCTATGACGATCAATGGTACCTTTTATTTTTGAAGATAGCTAACGGGCAAGCACTAGAACTAATAAAAAATAAACAAACAAAAAAGGACAAAAAAAAAAAAAAAAAAAAAGATATGTACGTACGTACGTACGTACATAAAGTGCCCGCAAATCTTATAAGATCTGCGTTTTTTTCTTGGCAAAATTGTTACATTTTATATGCAATACAAACCTTTCCTTAATAAAGTAATTGAGGAAATTGAACAAGTAATTTGATACTGTATAACTACAAGCTGTTGTGACCGATTAAACCTTTAATTGGTTATTTATGATGCCCTTTAATTTAACAATACATTTTCTTACATCAGTTAATATTTAGGCTTAGTAATTACTGCGTATGTACAACAAGATTCAT